CTATTGGAGTGGGGGGAACGTGCAGATCTGTCCTCGCAGAGGAGGGAGAGCTTGTACCTGAATAAAACTTGGTCTTAAAGGTGCCACTGGACTGTTTTGGATGGGGGGGACGGGGGGGGGCTCTGCAACTTACCTGGCTGCTTCTTGCTCTGACTGAGGGCTGCTGGGAGCAGGGGGTGGGGTTTGTTGCACGTGCCCGCCCCCTGGGCTCTTCACTGCCGGAGCTCCGCTCCTGTGCGCTCCTGCAGGAAATGACCCCTGAAAAGCACAGGTTCTCCCACTAAGCCGCAGATCTTCCCTTTAGTGTCTGTGAATAACCGTTCCAGAAAGCAAGTGTGAGCTGTGGCCAAGGCTCCCTCTAAGCTGTGGAGTCTTGTGAGCAAAAATTCTACTTTGTGAGCTGCTGGCATTAAAGCTGCGAGTGAGCGATTAGGCGACTGCATAAATTAGTCTGCTCTGGAGCATATCACCTTCTTGCCCTGTTTGTGAGCCCCAAGAGACAAATGGCTGACCGCTCTTGGAAACCAAAGACTGGCCCAGACAGACTTTTCATCTAAAATGGCAAGAAGATACTTACATGTTTATATCTGATACGTGAGGTTTAAATTATAGCAGTGAACAAAACCGGGGCACTCACAGAGCCTGGTGGCATCCAGTTTCTGTTCTGGTGTCTTTTTCCCTACCTGAGCAGGAAAAACTCTCGGGGAAAGGTGAGAGGGAATGTAATGGAAGAGACCAGAGGCCTACAGTGTTTCATCCAGTAGAGCATGCCCCTGCCCTAGAGTAAGATGACTCTTTTCCAAGATGAACTTTCTCTGCAGGGTTATATCATAAGAACATAAGAGAAGCCAATGTTGGATCGGGTCAATGGCCCATCTAGTCCAACACACAGTGGCCAAAAATACCAGGTGCCATCAGGAGGTCCAGCAGTGGGGCCAGCCACTGCTTTAGAGAGCTAGCCAAGCTTTTGTGATACCTGCGTCAGCGGTTTCACTGCCCCCCTCTGTCTTCTTCTCAGCCCTATTTGCATGGTTAGCAACCAAGGCTGCCCTGCTCCACAGTCTTGGAAGCCAAGGGCCAAGGATGAATGTGGCCTCTGGAGCTGAGAGTTCACTAGCGGTACTCACCCAGCCGTTCAGCCAAAGCCCGCGTTGTACAGATACATTTCCACACATGTTTTCCACTTGGTAAACCTTTTACCAGATTTAACAGGAGCTTCCGCAAGATGTTATGCTCACTGTGAGCACAGCTATAGCTTCCCATCTTTTCTCGCCTTCTTCTCCAGACGTTTTATTTCTCCCCACCCCACCCCGTCTTTTAAGGACACTTCTACATAGCCAGCTTGGATTTATTGCAACTTACTCCGTTTTCCAATCTGGCTCAATAAAACCCCCCACAGCTTTTCTTTCCTGCAGCTCAGGCGCACAGTACGGCAGAGCCAGCCCACGCTCTGCTGTTCGCGGGGTAATTTATTCATTTGTGAGGCTCCTAAAATACTAGGAGCTCTCCCACCACCTCCATCATTCACACGGTTTGTTTTCAGGATTAACCAAACTACAGACGCATTAAAAGAGAGCCACGCCGCATGCCCTTGGCCAGCTGCTGGGAAAGCATGGAGAAAAATTACCAGCCTTAATACGGTCCCCCCACCTTTTGAAAGACTTTGACTGGGGAGGCCCTGGTTCTAATCTCTGCTCGCCTGGGAGGTTTACTGTGTGAAATGAGGCCAGTTCCCATCTCTGAACTGGTTCCAAGGATTGTTCTGGGTAGGGTTCCCCAACATGGTGCGCGTGGGAACCATGGCACCCGACAGTACATAAGAACATAACAGAAGCTAATGTTGGATCAGGCCAATGGCCCATCCAGTCCAACAGTCTGTCACACAGTGGCCAAAAAGACCAGGGACCATCAGGAGGTCCAGCAGTGGGGCCAGGACATTAGAAGCTCTCCCACTGTTGCCCCCCCCAAGCACCAAGAATACAGAGCATCACTTGCCCCAGCCTGAGAGTTCCTATCTATACCTTCTGGTTAATAGCCACTGATGGATCTCTGCTCCATATGTTTATCCAATTCCCTCTTGAAGCCGTCCATGCTTGTAGCTGCCACCACCTCCTGTGGCAGTGAATTCCATGTGTTAATCACTCTTTGGGTGAAGAAGTACTTCCTTTTATCCATTCTAACCCGACTGCTCAGCAATTTCATTGAGTGCCCACGAGTTCTTGTATTGTGAAAAAGGGAGAAGAAGAAAAGAGGAGTTTGGATTTCTACCCCGCCCTTCACTCGGAGTCTCAGAGTGGCTTACAAACTCCTTTCCTTTCCCCTCCCCACAACAGAAACCCTGCAAGGTAGGTGGGGCTGAGAGAGCTCTTGACAGAAACGGCTCTTTTTCAAGGACAGCTCTGACAGAACTATGGCTTGCCCAAGGTCATCCAGCCAGGTGCAAGTGGAGGAGTGGAGGAATCAAACCCGGCTCTCCCAGATTAGAGTCTGTGCACTTAAGAAGAAGAAGAAGAAGAGAAGAGATTGGATTTATATCCCACCCTTCACTACCCAAGGGAGTCTCAGAGCGGCTTATGATCCCCTTCCTTTCCCCTCCCCACTACAGACACCCTGCGAGGTAGGTGGGGCTGGCAGAGCTCTTGACAGAAACTGCTCTTTTTCAAGGACAGCTCTGACAGAACTATGGCTTGCCCAAGGTCATCCAGCAGCTGCGAGTGGAGGAGTGGGGAATCAAACCCGGTTCTCCCAGATTAGAGTCCGTGCACTTAACCACTACACTTCTTTCTCTACCTGCTCTGTCCCATGCATAATCTTGTAAACCTCAATCATGTCACCCCTCAGTTATCGTTCCTCCAAGCTAGAGAGCCCCGAGCGCTTTAACCTTTCTTCACAGGGAGAGTGTTCCAACCCTTTGATCATTCTAGTTGCCCTTTTCTGCACTTTTTCCAGTGCTATAATATCCTTGTACTTCCCAGTACTCCCCTTGGCACTTACCAACCTTTTCAGAAATTGGGTGGCGTCATTGTAAGGCAGGGCTGGTTCCTGGCTGCTCTCGTTCGAATGATAAAAGGATCAGTGGGACTGGTTAATACCTGGGCTTTCCTAAGTCAGTATGTGGTTCCGTTTCCCCATCTGGCTTTCCTTTTTCCTGAGAGGTGTGAGGAGGGAGGTGTTCCATTCAGCTCTGCCTGCTGTGGGAGCTACTTTGGGTGTCCTGGCAGCCATTTGGGATGTGCGCTTACCACCCGCTCTCAAAATTTCAAATGTGTCTGCAGGTTCAACAAGATTGGGGACCCCTGGGTTTGAGGCTAAAAGGTAAAGGTAAAGGTTCTCTTGCTCGAAAGCCAGTCGAATCCGACTCTAGGGTTGCGGTGCTCATCTCCGATTCAAAGCCAAAGAGCCAGCGCTGTCCGAAGACGTTTCCGTGGTCATGTGGCCAGCATGACTAAACACCAAGGCGCACGGAACGCTGTTACCTTCCCACCGAAGCGGTACCTATTTATCTACTTGCAGTGTCTTGCTTTCGAACTGCTAGGTTGGCAGCACTGCCTTAGAGCGGAGCAATTCCACTCCGTCATGTGGCGCACTCGGGTCTTGAACTGCTGAACTACCGACCTTCCACAGCCTGCAGTTCAGCGTCTTAACCCCTTGAGCCACCGCAGCTCCTTTGAGGCTAAAACTAGGGCCTTAAAGGAAGTGGGCAGCAGAAACGAAAGCAGTATTTTACTTCAACTGGCGCCGTCCTTAGAATAAATCCCAAACCAGTGTAAAACCTGTTTGGCATCACCATAAAGAGAGTTGGAACATGGTGTGGGGGAGGTATGAAGTCAGAGAGAAGGGGTGAAGGAAGAACAGATGGGCTTCAGAAAATATTGTGAAGGGTTCTCACAATGATTCCAGGCTCCGAGGATGGCGTGCCAGGGATGTTTGTTCTGTTTTATGCTAGTCATGGTTTATTAGAGAGAAAGCATCGTATGACCAAGTGAGGCGAGCAGTTTCCAGCATTCAGCTGTGCGGCCATTTCGTACGGCAGTCAGTTGCTCAGAACCTGTGAAGCAGAGCAAATGCTGCTACGGACGGGGAAAATGTGAAAGCTGCCAAAAAAGTTTCAGTGTGGTTTTCTGAGGGATGTCGGGGAGCTAAGTCCAGCTGGGAGATGCAAAACCTAATAATTCAATCACTGCCACGTCAGCCATGACTGTTAGGCATACCGCAAGTCTCCCGCAAATCAACAGGGGAATGTGGTGCTAAGCATTTGGGTACAACTGGTTGTCGTGGGGCAGCGACGCCTAACTTTCTCTGGATTGCGTTTTGTGACCAATTATTGGTCCCCATTTATTTATGAGCGAACAGATCTCTCTCTTTTTTTTAAAGTTAAACTTGGACTTTCAGACTGCAGTTCCGCTAAATTTCATTTTTTAAAAAAAATCACTGTCTTTGCACTGTGGGCAAATTTCATAACCTGCCTTGAATCCAAATTTCACATCTTAAAATTTGAAATCCCTGCATTGCTCTCCATTCACAACCATGTGCACCAGTATACATAAACGGAACAGCTTCATGCAGTTTTACATTTGTAACCTTAGTTCAATAACATAAGAACCCTGCTGGATCAGACCAATAGAAATCTAGTCCCCAGATAAAATTGCAAAATGTTATCCACAAACATCCAACAGGTGTTGGAAATGTAAAGCAAATGTGGGGACCTTCTACCACATGTGGTGGAAATGTAGTGAAATACAAAAGTACTGGGAAATGATTCATAAAAGTATTGTAGAAATATTGAATATAGAAGCTGAGTTAACTCCTGAAATTTATTTATTGAATATGGTCCCAAAAGGCTATATAAAGCAAGATATATATTTAATCGTATATATTATAACGGCGGCTCGAATACTTGTGGCCAAAAACTGGAAGACAGATAAAATACCTTCTAAAGAGGACAATATCAAAAATCTTAGAATTGGCACAAATTGATAGTCTGAGTTTATTACTTCAAGGTAAAGATCAAAATGTACAGAATAACAGATGGATAAAGGTATATAAATGGATAAAAGATGAAATGGTTTAATAAGTAACTAAGTATTAAGTTGTATAAAATGTGTAAATTGTTTTAACAACTCTAAAAATTTATGTAATCTAAGAAACTGAAATGTTTTGTTTGTGGGAAATATGGAAAATAAATTTTAAAAAGAGAAAGAAATCTAGTCCAACATCCTGTCTCACAGAGTGGCCAATAACAGGTCATAGCGGCCGAGGCCTTCTCCTGATATCGCCTCCTGACTCTGGGATTCAGACATCTAGTGTCTCTGAATGTGGAGGTTCTCCTCAGTCACCATTGATAGACGCCATGAATCTATCTAATCGCCTTTTAAAGCTGTTTATTCCTGTGGCCATCATTACTACTTCTGGCAGCGAATGCTGCACTTTAATCATTCTCTGTGTAAAGTAATATTCCCCTTTGTCCATCTTCCCTCTTTATTCATATGAAAATACAGGGACAGGAGAGACCTTTCATACAAACCCATGAAATCCTGAGGCTCCTAAGTGAATGCATTTCTCTCTTCTCCCCAGATGGTCATTTGGAGTTCTGCTCTGGGAGATTGTCACCCTGGGTGGTAACCCTTATCCGGGTATTGCACCAGAGAGACTGTTTAACCTCTTGAAAACGGGCTATAGAATGGAGAAGCCGGAGAACTGCAGCGAAGAAATGTAAGTTGCATCAAGATGTGGGCTTTCTGTCAATCCAACAACCTTGCCAACATTCCACTCTTTGATCATAAGACTATGATCAGCAGTTCCACCTTAAGACTTTACCTGGCAGGGGAGCTTATCCTGCATTGGCAATAGTGCAGGTGGCTAGTGCTGTATTAAACATCTGGAGAGACATTTTCTTCTTCACCATAGGTTGGGCTAGCCTTGGACGTACTGGGGGAAATATCAGGGTGGGAGGCACATGCCTTAGAGCTGTGCAAAGAATGAGTTCATGATTTTTGATGGCGGGAAAAAAGATTGGCGGGATTAGAATGTTTGAGGGGATGCTCTGTATCACACTGTGAACGTTCTAAGCCCGTCTGTACTTGTGCAGCCTTCAGCAGGGCAGGTCACAGGCAAGGTTGCAGAGAGTAACCAGGGTCCAGTCCGAAAGTCAGGGGTTCCAGAGAGCAGGTATGCCAAGTCCCGTCTAGAGTCAAGTCATCCAGGCAGCAACTCCGGGCCAGGGTCAGGGGTTCCAGAAAAGCCGATAGACAGGTCCAGTCCAAGGGTCTGGGTTCTCGTGTCCGGTAACAGCAAGGCCAGTAGTTCAGTAGCAACATGTACCTGTTGCATCCACAAAACTGCTGCTTCACCCAGCTGGTTTTGTAGCCAAGTCTTAACGAGCTATACTTCCAGCCAATTCCTTAACAGTCATCCAAAAACTACTCATCCATCTCAACAGTCGACAGCTGACAATGGGCCATGAGCCTCACACGCCTCCTTTCCTGCAACTCCATGGGCCTCTGACACCGTCACTTGCTGCAGGCGTGTGGGTAAGCTAGGTGGGCTGGGAGTGGCTTCTGCCGTCTTGTTTACTGCTTCAGAGCTATAAGGCATTGGCTCAGTTTCAGCTGTAGGCTGTGACTTCTGATCAGCTGGTAACCTGATCTCTTGTTGCTCTCCTCCTGGCTCAGAGCCAGCTGCAGCCAGTTGTTCAGTTACTGGCTGAGGGCTAGCTGCAGGCTACTCTTTGTCTGAGGAATCTGTGCTGTCACTGAGCACAGACATATTTTTTGACACTGCCCCTCTGTGATGTTTCACGTCACATGTCATGTCATCATCCTGTTGATGTCTGTGGCCCTCAACCTTCTGCACACTGGAAGGAAGGGCCCAGGGGCTTCTTGGAGGGAGAGCCACCGTTTTCCAGGAGATCGCTTAAGAACAGTTGCCCCCAAACAGGAATACTTCTGGGACCACTTGATCTGCCCGGGTCAACTGAGCCCTGCTGTCCTCCCGGTGGTGGAAAGTGCCATCATGGCACAGCTGAGTTCTTGCAACCCAGTAGGGTTTTCAAGGCAAGGTGGTTTGCCATTGCCTGCCTCTGCGTAGCAACCCTGGATTTCCACAGTGATCTGCCACCCAAGTACTAGCCAGGGCTTACCCAGCTTATCTTCCAAGATCTGGCTACCCTGGACAGTCTGTGTCAGGGCAGGATCCAAAAGAGCCTTTCTGTGAGAAATGGACGGGCTCAGCAGCTAGGCAATTTCCATATATTGTCTCATCAGTCGGGAGTCTGCTGAAATTATCTGGAGTCTTTGTTCTTCCCTGATTATGTTCTAATTTTAATTGCTCATTGCTGCAGAGCATTGAATTGCAATTAATAGGACCAGGGTTTTTTAAATTAAAAAAAAATTAATTAGAAGCGGAGAAGGCATCCCTTGCAACTCTAATCAGCTCCAGATTGTAGGAGCAATAAGCTCGGACATGTAACCTGACGTATAAATGGAACGAGGGCATGAGCTGGAAGACAATGTGGTTAATAGAAGACCCAACTGGTTTTCCTGATAGACCACTAGGATGCTGCATTATGCACTCGTCAGGTGACAGAAACAGTCTTGCAGAAAACACTGGGCGATTCTGCATTGGCTTTTTCCTCCGTTGTTTTACCAAACCCACGTTGGAACAGAAATTCGGTCGGGGACACAACATCGCCTGGTGGCCCCAGGCCCCAGGGAGGCCAGGCTTGCTGCAACAAGGGCCAGGTCCTTTTCAGTGGCAGCTCCTACCTGGTGGAATGAGCTCCCGGGGGAGATCAGGGCCCTGCGGGACCTTTTACAGTTCCACAGGGCCTGTAAGACGGAGCTCTTCCGCCAGGCTTTTGAGTAGGAGCTGCCACTGCCACTACCAATACCATAATAGGTAGACCTGAGGGGTGGCTCCATGAAGATCAACCATGATTTCGCTGTGACCAGTACCGCTGGATGGGGTCGAGTAACATCTATGGGTCTTTAATCTCCCTATTGTTATGGAAGATACTGGGGAGTCTATCTTGTAAATTTGATTCTATCTTGTTGAATTTTGATAGTAACCACTGAGCACTTTAATGTTGATTGTTTTATCCTGTTTTTATGTTGTTTTATGCCTGGCACGTGGTGGCCTATTGTAAGCCGCCCTGAGCCCGCTTGCGGGGAGGGCGGGGTAGAAATGTAATAATAAATAAATAAATAAATTCCCCTCTGCATTGCATGCCGCTTTCATTTTCTTTGATCATCGGGTTTTATGGTACCCTCTACACTCCATGCCGCTTTTGCTTTCTTTGATCATCAGGTTTTATGGTACCCTCTACACTCCATGCCGCTTTTGCTTTCTTTGATCATCTGGTTTTATGGAACCTTCTGCATAGATTTATGGCCGTTCAGGGGGTGACTTTGTAGTCAGTACGGCCTTGGCCCCGAGGTACTCGAATGTGGTTTTGAGCTGCACCTTTGGTAGAACAGCAGAGGAAAAGACAATGCAGAATCGTCCGCTGTTACAGACAAGATGCCCTCAATTTTCACACATTCTGCGCCGAGCCTTTTCATGGATGAAAGTGCAGGCTTATTTAAACAATGCCCCAACTGTAAGCAAGCGTATTCTCCCCCACAGCTGGGAGAACAATGAAAGGACCACAGGGACCTATGACATGGGATGCAAACCACGTGGCATCGTTCCTCCCCGCTCCCCCCCAAAGAGTGTCACGTCTGTGGTTGGGACACATGCCCCTTCCATCTGGTCAGAACATTAACTTGTTCCCCTAGCCGGCCCGGAGGCCTTCTCATAAAACCAGCTCCCACATAGCTAGGGTAACATTGAAAGGGTCCCAGCAGAGTGCTTTTTCTCTGCTTCCTTTGAAGGGAGGTTGGATCTTCCCGATTCAAAAAAGGTCTCTGATTCAGAGAGCTGTGCAAACACGTTCCTCGGTTTAACTTCCAGAGGAGCTTGCTTTTCTGGGTCATCCCAGCAAAACTTACCTTGTGCTGCTGGAGTAGTCTGTGCAGGGCAGTTTACGAAAGAGGTTTGTCGTTTTAAAAAAAGACTGATCCGAAATTGAGTTGACGAGGTGTCGCCTGTTGTTCATCCTCCCTGGCTGCTCCGTCCTGCCAGCTGCTGTATGTTTCTCCTTTCCCCACCTGGGAAAGGAGAGTAGCAGGATGTATCTATATGAAAGAACGAACCTGCACCGGCAGGGCTATTTTTGGGCAGGAACGCACAGGAACAGAGTTCCGGCTGGCTCCCAAGTTGGCCACTCCCAGCAGGAACTCATTAGCATAACAGGCCACACCCAACAGCAGAAACTCATTAGGATTGGCTACATTAGGGGTGTGTGGCCTAACATGCAAAGGAGTTCCTGCTACAAAAAAAGGCCCTGGCTTTTGACAACAAACAAGGTAAACAGAATAAGAAGCAAAAGGTGGGTGTGGTTGGATGAGCACACTTCTGGTAACATGGGGGTGTGGCCTAATATGCTAATGAGCGGTACAGTCTAATATGCTAATGAGTTTCTGCTGCTGGGTGTGGCCTATTATGGTAATAAGTTCCTACTGGACTTTTTGCACCGGTAAAGCTGAATTCTGTGACTTGTATGTAGGCTTGCCAGTTATTGGGGGCAGAGAGAATACTGGACACACTGAGGCTGAGCGCCAACTTCTCCCAGGACAAACTGCGCAAACGACTCTATTTCCCCAGTGTGAATCCTCTGTGGTTGTCGATTGCACCCTTGTGTTGTCTCAGCGCTGCCTCCTCTAATCCCAAACAGCACACTTCACTCTTTGATCTTCATAAAGTGTCCAGTATTGACCCGGGCAGTCCAGTATTTTCACTGACTGTTCTGGAAAAACACTGCAGTCTTTTCTTCCTGGGCGGTCTGTGAAAATACCAGACTGTCCGGGTCAATACGAGATACCTGTCAGGGTCGCTAGCCAGGTCACACCGCACACAAGGCTTCAGAAGAAGATAAGTGTTTATTGATGGATCCAGTACTAATGATCACGTATACAGTTTGTGTCAGGAATACCCAACAGTATAATGGCCCCTGATTTATAGTGGAATCAAACTCCCCCACCCACCCCATGAGCTGAACCCAATGGATATGATTCGCACAACTAGCAAGCTAGCGGCAAAGCGTAAAAGCCGTTAGCTTTCCCAGACGAGTTAATTGCAGCTGGGAACAATGGCAAGGTCAAATCAGAGATAACACACAGAAGCTGGACAGGGATCAGCTGGGAAAGAGGAGGAGGTGTACCCCTCCACATTCCAGATCAATGACAGGGCTACCTGACCATACCTGGCAACCTTGCCTGTATGCTTGGGCAAATGATACAAAATGGGTCCTGCAGTTTTTATGATTTTACCTAATTCTTCTGGTTTTTCTAGTCAAGGAAGGGAGCCAAAGATCTGAGATCCACTGCTGACCCTTGAAAACTCCGCTTGGCTCCCTCTTTGGTTTCTAATATTGCACCAGATGCCACATGCACATTTGGACTCATAACGTTATAGACTCAGGGCTCTTTTTGTAGCACGAGCTCCTTTACATATTAGGCGACACCCCCCCTAATGTAGCCAATCCTCCAACAGCTTACAGAGCTCTTCTTACAGGGGCTCCTGTAAGCTCTTGGAGGATTGGCTACATTAGGGGTGTGTCGCCTAATAGGCAAAGGAGTTCCTGCTACAGAAAGAGCCATCTATCTATCATCTATCTATCGTATCATCTATCTATCTTATCATCTATCTATCATCTATCTATCTTCTTTCGATCCTGAGACATCCCGCAGGGCTCTTTCTGTAGCAGGAACTCCTTTGCATATTAGGCGACACACCCATAATGTAGCCAATCCCCCAAGAGCTTACAGAGCTCTTCTTACAGGGGCTACTGTCAGCTCTTGGAGGATCGGCTACGTTAGGGGGGGTGTCGCCTAATATGCAAAGGAGTTCCTGCTACAGAAAGAGCCCTCTATCTATCATCTATCTATCGTATCATCTATCTATCTTATCATCTATCTATCATCTATCTATCTTCTTTCGATCCTGAGACATCCCGCAGGGCTCTTTCTGTAGCAGGAACTCCTTTGCATATTAGGCGACAC